TCAGCCCGAGTTGCCCCTGCCAGACGGGGTCTAAGCTGCCTACCTACTAAAATGGCCTAACGTGTGTCGATGGGTATGTAACAACATCTTGATTTTTATATTAAAAAAAGAAACAGAGATTCTTTCTCGTTCAACAGGTGTTGGCACTTCTAGAATTTTGGGGCACGTCAATTTTCTCATGAATGAAGGGACAGATCAGCCAGGGTGTGACGACCGGGGAGGTGAGTTTTTCCTCTGTTTCTTAGAAAGCCTTTGCTTTTTAGCTCATTTCGAAATTAATGTGTTTTGTCTGTCTGCCTGTCTGTCTGTCGATCTGTCTGTCTGTCTGTCTGTCTGTCTGTCTGTCTGTCTGTCTGTCTGTCTGTCTGTCTGTCTGTCTCAGACTGAGACAAACAGTTTGAGCTATGGAACGGATGACCGTGGCTCAAAACTCTAACAAGGCGTGCTGGAACGTTCATTGTCAGTTGAGCTTTCACAACGCCCCCCCCCCCCCCCCCCCACCCACTTGCTGTTGTGAATGGACTCCAGGGGGAAAAGGGGGGGGGGGGGGGTATTTTACTGTTGTCTATAGTGTAAGGTGTCGCAGGGAGGCAGAGACGTTGAGTCTGAGCAAACTCGCTATCATAGAATAACAAAGTTCCATCCGACATTTGTGGTAGTTTCGGGTCATTAAGACCATGAAGTCAGAAAGCGAATGCTCTATCTGCTCTGTCAAAATCGTGAGATTTTTCTGAGTCGCTATCATGATATCTAAAGAGTTGCATTCGGAAAAGCTTGACATGTGAAACTCCACATTTTTTATGTCAAATTTCTATTTAAAAAAATAATAAGGTACTATGCAGGTAAAACTTTATAATTTTTAGGTAGCAAACTGTACGTTCAATGCAATCAATTACGGTCAGCCACAGACGCGACCACATTCAGAGCCCCTAGAATGAAATTAAAACCTTTTGATGACAGAGGTTTCTCATCTTTATGGTCCTTAAATCTGTAACTCCTTTCCCCAGGACCTCAGATTAATAACAAATCCTAATACGTTTAAACGATTGTTCAAGACTCGTTTGTTTAATTTTTAGTTGAAGTGTGGTAGTAAATGCTGGCTGACACGTTTTGTTTTTACTGCTGTCCTTAATTAATGTGTATAATGTATGCTTGAGGAAGTTTTTCTTTATGCAGTTGAACTGGTTTTCTTGCTTATGTGAAATGTTTTATCTTGTGTGAATGAAGTATTATGGTCAGTGATCCTGTTGTCGATGTAAAGCGCTCAGAGCTTATACTCGTATAGGATAGAACGCTATATTATAGATGCAATTTACTACTACTACTACTACTACTACTACTACTACTACTACTACTACTACTACTACTACTACTACTACTACTACTACTACTACTACTACTACTACTACTACTACCACTACTACTACTACCACTACTACCACTACCACTACTACCACTACTACTACTACTACTACTACTACTACTACTACTACTGCTACTGCTACTGCTGCTGCTGCTGCTGCTGCTGCTGCTGCTGCTGCTGCTGCTGCTGCTGCTACTGCTACTGCTACTGCTACTGCTACTGCTACTACTACTACTACTACTGCTGCTGCTTGTGCTGCTACTGCTACTACTACTACTACTATTATTATTATTATTATTATTATTATTATTATTATTATTATTATTATTATTATTATTATTATAAAGCCTCCTGGATCAGGAAATTGCGAGCTTCCGGTGTGTCCTTTTGTTCATGGATGTACCTTTCCTGACTCAGAGCTTATACTTGTATGGGATAGAGCGTTTTATAAATCCAACATATTATTGTTATATAGACAATGAGATCAAATGCCCCGACCCTCAATTGGCCTTACATTATTAAGAGCAGCGTCAAACCCCCAAAAATTAACAATCGTCAAAGAAATCAGTTGGTAAGTCAATCATTCTGTTGGGGTTTTTTCTGTTTATTTTTGTTTGTTTCTCTTCATTTACAGATACATGCAGCCATGGGCGAGCAAGTTATATCGCGATTGACTCCGTCTTGAATTGCAATTTCCGCTTTGTGCTCGGCTGCTCCTCCAAGCACGCCTTTCTGCATGGTCTGTGCTCCCACCTTCCGGAGTTGACGTTCGGCTTCGGGATAGACAAGGAGGCTGCCCTGGCACAGAGTGAAAAGAGTCCAAGAATCTATTACTACTTTTCCGACCACATCGAAAGGCCCTTCTGCTGTGAGTTAGTTAGTTAGTTAGTTAGTTAGTTAGTTAGTTAGTTAGTTAGTTAGTTAGTTAGTTAGTTAGTTAGTTAGTTAGTTATCTTTTCTGTTTGTTGTTTGTTTGTTTGTTTGTTTGTTTGTTTGTTTGTTGTTGTTGTTTGTGTTCACTTATTTTAATTATCTACCAGAGCATAATGAACGTGCCTTTAGCTTTGTCTTTGTGTGCGTGTGTGTGTGCGTGGACACCCCATGCGCTTGCAGATCTCTCCACGCATTAATGTTGTC